CTCCCTCCTAACCATCCTTCCTTTCCAACCTGCTCTTCATCCTTCCTTTCCAACCTGTTCTCCATCCTTCCTTTCCACCCTGTTTCTCCCTCCTAACCACCCTCCTCCATCCTTCCTTTCCACCATGCTTTTCCCCTCCAAACTGCTCTTCTCCATCCTTCTTGTCCACCCTGCTCTCCCCTCCTTTTCACCCTGCTCCCGCTTCCTTTCCACCCTACCCCTCTCTTCTTTCCACCCTCCTCCATCCCTCCTTATCCACCTTGCTTTCTACTCCTAACCAGCCTCCTCTTTTTTTCCTTTCCACTCTGCTCTTCCCACCTAACCATTCTTCTCCATCCTTCTTTGCCACCCTGCTCTACCTCCTTCCTTTCCACCCTACTCTCCCTCCCTCCTTTCCACCCTGCTTCCTACCCCCTAACCACCCTCCTTTCCCCTCTTTTCTACCATTTCTCCTACCTCTTAACTGCCCTTCTCCATCCTTCCTTTCCATCCTGCTTCTCCCTCCCTCCTTTCCACCCTGCTTCCTACCCCCTAACCACCCTCCTTCCCCCTCTTTTTTACCCTGCCTCCTACCTCCTACCCACCCTTCTCCATCCTTCCTTTCCATCCAGCTTCTCCCTCCTAACCAGCCTCCTTCATCCTTCCTTTTCACCCTGCTCTCCATCCTAACTACCCTCCTCCATCCTTCCTTTTCACCCTGCTTCTCCCTCCCTCCTTTCCACCCTGCTTCCTACCAGCAAACCACCTTCCTCCATCCTTCCTTTCCATCCTGCTTCTCCCTCCCAAGTACCCTCCATCCTTTCTTTCCACCCTGCTTCTCCCTCTTAGCTACCCTCCTCCATCCTTTCTTCCCACCCTGCTCTTTACCCTTCCTTTCCACCCTGCTCCCCCTCCTTTCCATCCTGCTTCCTACTTCCTAACCACCCTCCTCCCTCCTGTCCACCCTATCCCTCCCTTCTTTCCACCCTCCTCCATCCCTCCTTTTTATCCATCCTTTCATTGCTTTCTCTTGCCATTTCTTTCCTCCTTTCCCTTCTTTCATTTGCCTTCTTTCTCCAACCCCCCCTTATTATTTTCTATCTGTGTTCCTTTTTTTATGTGTTTCTCCCCCCTGCCTTCTTTTATCAGTTTCCTTCAATTGCCCATCCATTTTATTTCTCATCTCCTTCAGTATATGAACTTTTCTCATTTCCTTAGGGTAGAGAAGAGGGCAAAGGACTGCTTCGCCAAATTTCCAACAGCCGGTCCAGTGGAGATGGTGCCAGAGAGAGTGCAGATGCCTTCACCCAAGAATTATCACTTGGAAATATAAGTGTCGACCATGAAACAAGTATGTCGCCTGTGGTACGAACCAACTTGGATTTCAACACCCCTTGAGAACAGCTGACTTTATATAGTTTGGTTAAAAGAGAAGCTTAGATCAATTTTACATTTTGTCTCTATCAACTGCTGGAACTTAATTTTTATACTAATAAACCCAAGTTGCTCCACAACATCTGCTGTTGGTAGCTGTGTTTCTGATCTAATGTACAGAGGGATCAGAGATGTGTGCAGACCTGGAAAGTTTTAACCTGGACGAGGCTGACTTAGTGAGCTAAGAAACAGCCCTTAGCACTTTGCACAGAGCTGTTATTACAACTTAAACTGTTGATGTTTATCACAACACGATCATGTGATTCATTATTTTTTCTCACTAAGAGAGGTCTAACCTGTGAAAAATAATTACAGTATGTTACCTTGAGAAGTAGTGTGTACAGTAACTGTAACTGTTACAATAAAATGTTAGCCCTTGTTTTGGTCTGTTAAGGTAATTTTTCGCTTAAGTTACCACTATGGTGAAATCAAGCTTCCTAGCCAAGGTTTTGGTACTGAGACATGGTTGCCACAGTTCAGGAAAAAGTCACAGAATAAAATAAATTTCTTTAAGGTTAGGGAAAAGTCAGGGAATTTCAGTTTGATTCAGGGAAAATTTACAGCTCTGGGAGAAATTGGGGAGAAGTGAAATTTCAAGGACAATATCATGTTTTTTATCTTGTCATGGCTGTCTGCATGATTTAACATGGCAGGGCTTTTTTCTTTGTCATGTAAATGTTTCTCAGGCACATTGTTTTATGCAGTTCACAGATTCTTGATCCACTTACATGTAGTGATATCCTTTTCCTCTGTAATGCAAGTTCAAGATGGTTTGTGAATGAAATCATGGATTTCTTTTTCACCAATTTTCATTTTCTAATATTCTAATTCTTTGGTACATTTCAGAGAAATGAAAGGGGTTGGAGTGATCTAATATTGTTTGATTAAATTGATCAACAAGCTGATTTCAAGTTTCCAGAAAAATTGATCAATTTTCCATGTCTTCTTAAGGATGTATCAATTGATGTAAACTATATTTGGCTTGCTGAAAGCATTATTTTATGGATGGAGAAGATAGCTTTGAGGGTGTGGTTGGAAGATATGATCATGATTTGTTTGTGAAATTGTCAATATGCCATTTTTGATATATTAAAAATTCAAACTTGGGAGGCTCCAAGGCTTGGGCAAATAAAACAAAAGAAATCACATCGATTTTGAGGGATGAATGATAAATTTCTTTTGTTTTATTACCCCTAGCCTCAGAACAATGCTGGAATTTTAATATGTCAAAAATGGCCTATTCAGTCGGTCAGGGAAATTTTTCATTTGTCAGGTAAAGCTCAGGGAATTTCAAACACCTATGACTGTGGCTTGTGAGATGATGGAATAACTATCTTCATTTGTAACTTTAATTTTTATTGATGGGAATGATATGTACTGAAAAAAAGGGGAGTACTCAGTAAATGTTTCGTAAAAGAGAGCTTTATGGATACTATGATGACTCTTACATGAAGTCGGCTAATGTTAGGGAAAACCCCGCACGTCCTAAAGCAGTCGAATTATTTCTCTACAGTTCATTAACTAGTCAAGCAGCCATCACGAGAATTAGCTTTCACCCCTATCCATAAATAGAGAAGTAATGACATACATGACATAACATCTGGATAAGACCTTACGCTGCTGTGATGTCAAGAGCTTGTGACAATTAAAATTTGCTGCTGTCAATCAAATGCTAGAGGATTATTAATAGATCGCTAACTGTCATACAAAACCGGTTCAAAACCGGTTTTAGTGGTTTTCACCGAATGAAGAACATCCTGTTTGTGTGCATTGGAGTGTGATCGCTTTGTGGGCAATAGAGTTGGATCGCTCGGAATGGTCAATAGATCGACGAAAGATCGAGGAAATAAAGGAAAATAGACCGCCATGACTGAAGAGAAAACTATAGTCGAAGAAACGGGTGAGCCTAGTGCTACTGAAACGGCGGTAGTTGATAATACGGACAAGGAATCGACGGAGCGAGCCGAGGTCACGGAGGCAGAGAAAGCACATGGCGACCAAGAACCATCTAAAGAAGAAGGAGAAGCGGAAGAGAAATCGAATGACGAACAACCTTCCAAAAGACAACGTGGAAGACCAAAGAAGACCGAAAGCAGCGAACCAGCCGCCAAGAAACCGAAGACGGAAAAGAAAGGAAGGCAAGCTCCGGAAAGAGTGAGCAGTCGTGTAGCGAATCAAAGAGCTGGGATTAAGCTTCAAACGACAGAAGAACTGCCTAAAAAGAAACGAACACCATCAAAGAAAGCTACCAAGAGCGAAGTGGAAAGTGGAGCGACGACCACGGAACAAAATGGTACATCTGTGGAGGTTTGATTCCCGTGAGGAAAGCCCTAAACATTCGCATCGATAACCTACATTTATAAAGTTTGACACATGTTGAAAATTGCATAAGTTTTCAGCATTATTCTGAAGCATTCACACGGTTTCTTTGTGCGACTTTCACCTGCCATTTTCATTGTTTTCTTGAACCCCTCCAGACGGCCGGCCATGTTGTTTTTATCATTCTCAACATTATTCCCATCGTAATTCAAAGGTTTCATGCTTGTAGTGGCTCGCGTCGGTTACTGGGGCAGTAAGTTTGAACCTCCTTGTTGCATTTCAGACTAGATTAATTAAAACTACTTTTTAGTTTAATACGTGTGTTTTCAGACAAGGTTGGCAAAACGCATATTTTTAAACAGCCAGTTTTAAGCTTTATGTAGATTTGGTCTTTCGCTCGCATAACATAGTTCATGTTCTTATAAGGGGTGTACCGTTTTCATTTTTTTTACCAAAAAAAATAAAATTATAATTCATTCATAAAATCACTCGTGTCTTGATCTTTATCTCGCCGACCAATAGGGGCTGTAAGCCGTCCCCACTCTCCCGACCCTCAGGGACTTCGTGGAATTTGTAAAATATTACGCGAGATGTCTAAAGAAAACAAAGAGGCGTTAATCTCTTTTTCGCCACTAAACAAATTGAAACGGAATGAATAAGGAATTACGGAATCTGCGGCTTATTTTCCTTGTGGCTTTGCGAAACATTTTGGGACAATGACACTTTGGGTGCCTGTCCTAAACTCAATAATCTGCACAAAATGATTGAAAAGAGCAGAATTATTCCATTCATAGCAGATTGCTTTCGTTTGCACTTTCCTCTAGCTAGCTGCTCTCTACCTCAAATGAAAGCTAGGGCACATGTCAGAAAATGAAAATATTGTGATTAAGAAACTAAAATAAAGCTCACCTTTTAGAAATAGGTGAGAAAAGTCAAACCACTTACCTTAACATGGTGGGATGTGGGAAGGGGTATTCAATAATGAAATGTTTTTGTTTTTTTAACCAACCCTCCTTCAACTCTTGACAAATGAAATTCTACCCTTTTAGTTACCTGTAGCCTTTGAAAGACCCTCATTTGTGAGAACAATCCTCAGACAGTCCCTTATAGACAGAGCCCTCCTGATCATCAGCCAAATGATCTTTACAGAAGCACACTTGCAACTTAGGATATTATTCATCCAATCCTAGAACACATACTCAGTAAAATCTTCCAAAACAACAATTGACCTAATTTCCTTCCACAACAATATAACAATTATTTGCAGCTAGATATGAACAACTTTTCCAAGTCTTTTTATTACAACCATGCATTATATACAAGCAATTTTCCATTGCAATATTTGATACAGTTCTAATATTTACATTCTCCTGTACACTATACTTAATATAAGTGGAATGATCAAGGTTGAAAACATATTCATCAAATTTTTTCTAATGATGGCTGCTAGTAAGAACAAGGCAACAACTTTGAGATATACAAGCATCTTACACCTATTAGAAGCTGTTTGATAATTACTCCATTACTGTATTTTTACAGCTTAAGACATAAAAAGTGTGAGTACTTTGTCTTAGAAAATCCATGACATGACAAAGAGGTAAAGGTATACCAATATTGGTTCAATGTATGCAACTAGTAAGAACACAATCTAGTATTTTAATTTATTAGAAAACGGTTGTCTTTCTATGAGGTGGGGGTTCTTTTGGTGGAGTTGGAGGCAGAGGCCGACTGTTATTTATTCTTTTCTCATGAACAGGCATGTTAGGGATAGGATCTAGCCGTGACGAGCTCATGACGAGAGAACTGCTTTGCCGTGCCCCTTCTTTCCCTGGTTTTGTTTTGGCCTGCAGTGGGTTGATGACGCCAATATTTGGTGCTGCTTTGAAAACTTTGTTGAAGTTTGTTTCCCTGTTGAGAAGCTCTAATTGGAAATATCTCTTCTCATCCTATGAACCCAAAAAAGGAGATAGCATTAATATGAAAGTATTGTAAAATAATACAGCTTGATTGCCAACCCCTGTGTGCAAATCTGCAATTTTCACATGGGTAACAGGCCCTATATTGTTCACATGTACAATGCAAGGGAATGCACATGGTTAAGTGGACATGCAAAATGGAGCTCCACATTTGAGCTTGACTAAAAACTGAGAAGTAGTTGTGATCAAAATTTAACCTTTGGGACTAAATATCTGATGGACATTCACATGAAGCAAAAGATGACCGAACTGATACAAGTCCAGTTACATTTAGTGAAAGGGATCATAGTAGTTCTTCAGGGAGCAAGTACCTTCTAATTAAAAATAATGGTTAAAGAAAAATCAAAGGAAATGCTGAAAACTAAATGAAATATTCAAACTGACCACAAGTCTCTTCATATCCAGCTCCCGTTCAGCAAGGGCCCTCTTAAGCTGTTCAATAACTTCCAAGTCTTCTGGTCGTGACTGTCGGCTCCTGAATTTTTCTTCAGCCTCCTCCAGCCTGTTGACAACAAAAAATTGCATTTAATTTTGACCTACCTTGTATTATTTCCTTGAAGTGGGTTACATGAATGTTAAAATTTTGAGATAGAGCACCTTCATGGAGCTCTATAGACTCACATTAATTGTAAAGCAGAAATCTTGTCACAAAGGAGTTCCTTGGATCTATTAAACTCTGAAAGCAAGGACTGAGTCTCACGCAGATGATCTGCTGCTATGGAGTCCACCTCTTTCTGATGTGATCTAGCAAGGTCTTCTTCTCGTTTTCTGAAAAAAAGAGGTAAAATGTTTAGTAATGATACACAATTTTCAATTGGAAGTGTACAAGAAAGAAAATAGTATGACTAAAAACAACTAAGTCTACAATCCAGTACCAGAATTATGAATACTGTAGGTTGGCAGAAAGTTCCGTCTCCAATCTAAATGCCTGACTGACAACCAGATTATGAAAGACATACAAACTATAAGGCAGTGATTTTACTAGGATTTCATCTGATGGGTGTTCATAAAAAAAGTACAAACAAAACCTTAACATTGATACTTAAGGCAGATACAATATACTGTAAAAATATGGATTATTATGCAATCCAGTTTAAAGAAAGCAATACTATTCAAACCTCATTTGTGAATTAGCCTCCCGTCTGACACTGAGTATCTCCTGCCCTTTGGCTTGCAGTTCACGTTGAAGTTGTTCCACATTACTTTTCACCTCACCAATTTCCTCATCCAGTTCTTTGAGATGGCACTCTCTCTCTTCAATCTCTCGTCTTAGCTCTTCTATCTGATTCTGATGTTCAGTTTCCTGAGTGGCAAATTAGGAGCAGACATTGAGAATTAACTTTCCTCTCAAGGCCAAAAGTCACTCAGAGTATTACTGACAGTAACAGTTGTAAATGATATAGTAATAAGTGAGATTTACTCATTCAAAGTAGTGGTGAAAAGGCAGTAAATGCCTACCTGTGGATCCATTTCTTGATGAGAAAAGAGTTTTTGAAAAACAAATATTTTGAATTACAGTTGGTAACTTACATCCTTGGAGTGCATCTCATTGGTACGCTGAAGTTGGAGTTTCACAGCTGCTAATTGAACCTCAAATTCTCTATGTAATCTTTGCATTTCCTCCTGTTGGACACGCAAAAGCTCACTTCTCATATTTTCTATAAAAAGAAATAAGAAACGCTAATTACAAAGGACAAAAAGAGATTGAAAAAGAAAAAGTAAAAACACCACAAGGAAAAAATATGCAGTTACTGCAAAAAAAGATGTTTTTCAAGCAAGTCATGCAAGGCATGAGTAAAAAGCATGATAATTTCCATTTCCCCTTTACAACAATGAAATAATCTGACCATTTAAAGCTGGTGTGAAAAATAAACAATTTTGACAACAAAGCTGGAGTTGCTTTTAGTCTCAATGCATTCCCTATAAACAGCAAAATGGAATTGTCCTGTGGAAATGGTGGTATGTGCACTTTAGTTACAACTTTTTAAAAACATGTTTAACTTTAGTTAACCCTTTAACTCCCATGAGTGACCAAGAAACAATTTCTCCTTACAATATCAATACAATATCAAGCAGACAAGTGATGAGTATAAAGAAAAATATCAATTAGGGAATAATTATTTGATCCAATACTAAATTCTCTGAACTAACATTATAACAATTGTATGGTTGACAGTAAGGAGAATTACATATTTGATCTGGGAGTTAAAGGATTAACAAAAAAAGGGAAAAAACACAATACTATTTATGGCTTGCAACAACTGATGCTGTATGAAAACCTTTCATAAAAGTCTAACCTTGATCATTTTCATGATTGATTTTTATTTCTTCGATGTCTTTCATACGTGTCTGCTCAGCTTGGGATTTGATGGCATCTATCATGAGTTTATTTGCCTGCAGTTGAGATGTGATCTCATCTCTGTGACTCTTCTGTAGGGCACTCTCACGTTCCTGAGAGAAAATGTGAAAGAAAAATTCATGACTAGCATTCACATGTTAGAAATTAGTACCTTGAAAAAGAGGACAAATCAGCCACTTGTCATGTTTTCTTGCAGAAAAAAAGTTACTCAACTTATACTTAGGTAATTAGAGATTAATACATATTGCTGCAAACTTCAAACCTGATACCAAACACTGTGTGAACATTCACCTATTAATTAAAAAACCTGAAATAATCCAGCATGTACCTTTATTTCTTCATCTTTGAGACCTTCCAGCTTCTTAAGCTCTTCCTTGTGTTTTTCTATCAACTCTTCCAGCCTTTTGTTGTGTTGTAGAGACAAGGCAGATATTTCTTCCTCCATGCGTTTCCTCTGTAAGTCAAGTTCTTTGCGAAGGTCAAGCTCAGCTGTCGTAGCATTCCGGTTTGCCTTTTCCAAATCACCTCGAGTTTCAGCAATCTGAACAAGGAGAAAGCTTATTAAGTTTATGCATAGTGAGCTCAGTCAGAATTGCTGAATAAAATGTACTTATTGACACTTAAAAAAATTTCAGTAGATGGTTAAAATCCAGAGGCAACAGTTGACCATTCAGGTAAGAGACTGTTAAGAACTGATGATAGCAGTGACTGACACTTTGACAACCTCAGTGGATATTGTCATCAAAGCCAAGTAAGACACTGACCACAACTTCCATTAAGGTTGTCAAAACAATAGCCATTAAGCACCAATCAATTCCAGGCTTCAACATTCCTTCAGGCAATCCACAGGCACTGGACTGTCATCTTCACCCTTGGGGGTATGGAATTCAAACCTTGCCAAACTGTGGTGGGGAATTTTAACCTGAAGTGTCTAGTGGAATTATTTAAATATAGACTGAGGTGTTTAAAGGTAAGTAGTCAACTTTTGCAAACAAAATGGCTCAGACTATACAATCACCTCTTATCAAGTTATAGTCTGTGATAAACATTATTATGTGACAAATCATACCACCCTATACTGTAACAGTAAGAAAGGTGCTATATTAAAAATTACATAATCATATTAAATATCACAGTGCAAGTTTCTTTATGTCAAGACAATGGTACTAACAAACTTCTTGGAGTGTTCAAGAATGCATTTCTTAGCAATTGCAAGATGCGCAACCTGTTTACAAAGAACCAAAATCAAGTTGGTTTTAAAATTCATCCAGTTTTGATTAAAAAGTTGAGATCAAAATCTACTGACTATTCAAACGTGTTCTCTAAACTCAGTATAGAAATTGACTGAAATATGCTCATTCTTAGGCATTTGAAACTAATATCAGTAATGCATATTCTCAATACTGTTCACTATACATTTCTAAAGATGCTGACAAGGAGAATTTGTTTAACAATCGAGAGCTTCTTTAGTTGGTCTTCATTTCCTTTATTCTTGTGTCCTTCATGTGTGATTCAGACAAGATATTGTAAGGAGAAATTAGAATTTAGTCACTCTAAAGGGTGAAAGAGTTTATGACTTAATCAGTGCAGAAAGGTTGCCTCAAAGCCCAGATACATTCATTTGATAATACTGTCTGTGTACTTACAGTCTTTTTTAAAGCATCAATTTTACTTTGCAGCTCTCCTCTCAGTTCTTCTCTCTGCAAATCTTTTATCTTTGTTAGTTGCTCCAGTGACACACGATTTTCCTCTCTGTGCTGTTCATTCAGCTGTGAGCGCAGTTTACTGCATTCATCCCTGAAAGTTACCAAGAAATAAATTATATGCTAAACATTTGCAGCTCATTTTAGTGGCTGCTTATTTCTGAGTTGTACTGTACCTGTATTCTGTTCTTTGGAAAAAAAATTACTCACTCAACAACATTCCCACAAGGTTAATAAACAATTGGAATTTTACTTGTGTCATTTACTAATTCACAAGAGCTTTTGAAGCATGGTTGATATGACAGTGATATTTGGTGCATCAACTACTCTATAAGTCAACCCAAAAAAACTTACCTTAATTTTTCACTCCATTTAGTATCCAACTCATTGGTAAGTGATGCTAGTCGGGCATCTGAGTCTAATTTTGCATCCTTTAGAGCCTTGTCATGGAGCATTTCTAGCTTGTACATCTCATCCTGATTAAAATTATAGTTTTTATTTTTAATTATTATGTGACATTTTCATGACAACAACATCTACCAATAAGTACAATCAATGATATTCTCAAGATATCTGTTGTATGTTAAGATGGAATTATAGGTAAAACAATATTAATCTTGATTGTTTTGTTGTTTTCTCTATTTTTGAGCTTTGGCAATTTACATGGAACTACAAAAAATGCAGATTAAACTAGCTTAAAATTATTAAGATTTATATTCACTAACAACAGTGTACAACATATCCACTAGCAAATACAAGGGTTCCTTCAAAGTCTCTTAAAGGAGGTATCTTCCTAACCTGTTATTGCTTTGTTTTAGACAAAACATTAAAAAAAAGACATATGTATAAGTTCCTCATGTTGGCCCTAACAGCTGTGTGGACCTGGCTTTTTTCAGAGAAGTGTTCATGTATTTTATTCAGTGTTATTGGACATTGATTGCCATGCAATAATTCTATAGTGCAAAATTCCCTCAAAGAGACCTTACAAGCTATAATTATGACAAAAGGCCAGTAAGACTTTTATTAATGAATCATCAATAACAGCAACTGACAATATTGATGACCTTCTTAAATCAGTTTTGAGTCAACATGATTTTCATGGGTGTTTGACTTTTCACAAGCAAGAGAGATCTTACCATTGACTTTGCATACTTGTTTTCAGCCTCTTGCAAGTCAGTCTTTGTCTTTTGTAATTCCTCCTTAGTCTGACTAAGGGCTGTTTTCAAGCTGTCAATATGCGATGATGCAGATCCCAGTCCTTTTTCACTATCATGAACCAGCTTCTCCAATCTCTCAACTTCATCTTCAGACGACCTCAACTTATTTTTCAAGTCACTGCAGTGATTCTCAAACTCAGCAATAACCTCATTCTTCTCTATCCGCAACCTCTCAAGTTCTTGCTCCGAATTCTCCAAAAGTTCTCTCTCCTTCTGAGACAAGTTATCTTGAAATTCTTGCTGTAAATTCATTACGTGGTTATTATGATCGATACCAAGTTTTGTCTTCATATCCTCAAGTTCTTTGCTATGATCTCTCTTTAACTTTGCTGTGACATCTTCAAGTTCTTTTCTCAGTGAAAATTCTTTGCTAGTAGATTGTTCACCAGCTCTTTTTAATTCAGCATTGTATTTTGATTCCAAGTCTTCCTTCTCCCTTAAAAGTTTCTCAATTTCCTGTACAAAACAAATTCAACCAAATGATAAATCACAAACTTAAAGGCATTAAAAAGTAATTGAATTCTGAAAACATGTCGTTCATTTTCTTAAATATCTGAATTCAAGAATATGTGAATAAAGATAGGGGTAGCAATTATGTTTATTTTTATGAAAAAGTGTGTGCTATACACAGGTAAATAGGATAATTGAATCACAGGTCTTGCAATACTTTCAACGCATCTGGCAACTTTGTCAGCTTTTGCAATTGTTCTTAAAATCTCGATTTCATTCAAAGTTATCAAAGTAAGGGATTTCTTCTGATAGCTGCGAGTGTAGTAGTCTCAAGCTATGGTTGAGGGCAACAAATAGGTCTGTGCATGATTGTTGTCATTTGAAAATACAGGAAGTGCCATTTAGAATCAATTTACAAATGCAACTCCACCATAACAGTACCTTTAGTTAATAGTTACAACATCTTGAGTCAAACAACTTGTGGTAATTATGTCAAGCTGTATGGCTTAAAAATGTTAATTCATTGATTTTCTGTAAGTATTGCAAAACAGAAAGTGGCTGCAAACCCCCTACAGTGATTGTTTTTAAACTCTTTATAAATAACAAATTACTTGTAACCAATTTTTTTAAAAATTGGGATCATCAAGCTGATACTTATAATTATCAAGCAGCATACATGGTCAACTTAACTTTGTTTTAACTATGTCTTTGTTATGGCAGCTTGATAGTTTTATGACAAACACAGCATGTTCAAGAATGACCAAGCATTAGCTGTGGATTACTAAATTTTTTAATTTTTATTTCACTTTTCTCTGTGAATAGAAGTGTCAATTCATCCATGAAGGTGAGAGCTTTTTAATCTATTCAGAGCTATATAAGGCCATAAACAATACAGGTAGCAGGGGATGTGTAATCTAACCTGTTGAAGATGCATGATCTTTGAGTCAGTTTGCACTGTGTGTGAACTGAACTTCTTTCCAAGATCATCGTGTTCAGATTCCATCTTATTCAGTTTACTTTGTAGGCTTGAAATGTTTGCTTTCAGTTCCTTGATCGTTGTTTCCTGAGACAACTTGGTTGCATCAAGTTTGCTGATTTGCACTGTTTCAAACAATTTTCATATGTTAGCATAGAACAATTCATTAACATCTAACCTTTTGACCCCTTGGAGTGAATAGCATCTATTTTCTCCTTATAATATCACCCCTGAATCACACATAAAGGTCACAGGAATAAAGAAAATGATCACTAAATAAAAAACTCTTGATTCTTACACAAATTCCCATTGTCAGCACCTTCAGAGATGTATAGAGAACAGTATGGAGAATATGCATATTGATGTTGGGGTGCAAAGGGGTTAATATATAACATGAATAAGAGACAAGTGATTAACTTGCATGTGGAATTTGGTGAAAAGTGATAAGAGGTTTTTTTGGTGATAAGTGAGTGAGTTGCAAGTGGAATGCAGTGAGATGATTGAACTCACAGTTTGCCACTTTTAAACCAGCAATGGCAATATCTATAGATGTGGATTTGTAACCATCTGTTTCATAGAAATAAAAAAAAATAGTTTAACCACTAACATTGTGTCATGGAAAAATTATGAAACTCAAGGAAATATTTCTCAAGCATCTTCCACCAAAGACTTTTAAAGTCCATTCACGGATTGAATGTAGAGCCTATAAATACAGTGTACTTTTAATACTAACTGAGTTTAAGGTTTGACATAGAAAACAAGGTTAGTAAATTAATTATTTGATACCTCTGGATTCAAAGAGATCAAGAAGTTTTCAGTTCAAACAAACTTTTGAATCTAGCAGGTCATACAGTAAAACATAGCCTGATGAACTGACCAATCATAGTATACACACTAACTTAGAGATTTAATAAAAAGTTTTTAACAGGAGAGCAAGACAAAGATCAAAACTCCCCAATAGATATTAAACGTTTCATGGAAAAACCTAACGTGTGGCTGCTAAAAAGTTTTTCCCACAAGATAATAAGTACATGAATAAAAAGAAATGTCACAAAAGTACCCCATTGTGTAGCTTTTTGAGTTTAAATATGTCCACCTGCCCTAGTATTGTATTGAATAACAATATGCACACTTTCCATAATGGATCACTTGTTAATAAAACAAATAAATTAATTCTTCACAGGAAAACTAAATATTCGATCAATGATCAAACTTGATTTCCGAAAAATAATCAATAGGAAATAATATTACCTAAAAATGATATCAAAAGAATAAAAATTACAGAAGGAACGCTATAAAACCGATTAATTTCAACAAAGAACATTAAATAATTCTATAATCACATAAAACGAAATTTTGTTTGTATTATAAACATACAAAATCACTTTACTTTACTGTGAAGTCATATGAAAATCATACTTGTGAATTGCGGTTTAAGATATGGATATGAAAGCGATCTTCGCAGTAATGAACACAACTTAAGCAGTAGTAAAATTAAGGTCTGAAAAAAATTCAGGCTTGTATGGTATTTGAGTCTATGACCTCTGCGATACCGGTGGAGTGCTCTACAAACTCTGGGAGCTGGTCATAATGTTGGTTAGTAAGAAACCCTTGAAGTAATGAATGTTATATGTGAACTACGGTACTTACTCGATTGACGAGCGATCTCGGCCTCTTGCTCCTCACACCGTTTTTTCGATACAGTTAAGTTACTTTCCGTCTCCCTTAAACTCTTCAGGGCTTTGGATCCCTCTTGCCTCGCTTCCTCGAGTTGTTTCGCCAAGTTTGTTGAATCCCCTTCTTTACCTTCGAGTTTGGATTCCAGTTCGTTTAGTTGCGTTTTCAAAATGGACATATGTTGCTCTCCGTCACTTAATTGATTTAGTAACTCTGAAATCCTGTCCTTAAAGATTCGTTCTTGTCTATTCCATTCGGTTTTAAGAGCCTTCTCTCTTTTTTCCCACTCTTTCAGTTGAAATTCTTTGGAATTTTCTTGCAAAGTTCGCGAAGCAGCCAATTCTTTTTCGTAAAATGCTTTCAGTTTGTCCAATTTTTCTTGATACTCAGATTCAATTCTATGTCTTTCCTCCGCCACAGCATCGCTAGAAGTTTCTGCCCGAGAAAGCTTTTCCTGAAATTCTTTTTCAAGTTTCTGTTTTTCCTTCACAACTTCATCGTAGCGCACACGATGAGCTTTCATGAGCTGGTCGATCTCGTCGTGATGTTTGCTTGTCAACTCCTCCACAGCTTTGTCTCGATTTTCCTCTAACAGTTTCCTAGTAGCCTGAAAATCCTTCAGGCGTTCTTCGAACTCCTTTTTAGAAGTTAATAATTCCTTGGACATGGTCAAAATCCTATCAGAAAACTCTGATTTCAAACGAGCTTCTTCATCATTTGTTCGGCGCTTGAAACTCTCAAATTCCGACATCGCCTCTTCTCGCTGGAGCCGTTCCTTCGACAAATGCGACTCTAACATGTCGATCTTCTGTCTTTGTTCAGAAACAGCATTTAACCTGGTTTTAAAATAGTTAACTCTTTCTTTCGTTTCCGCCATAAGCTTTTGCATCTCTTCTTCATGGGCCGTTTTCATGTTTTCCAAAACATTTTCGTGTTCGTCATTTTTGGTGTTGAGCGCGTAAATAACTTTAGTAAGTTGAGCAATCTTCTTCGACATCTTGAGATGTAGGTCTGGGGTAACATCTGCAGGAGAATTACCTCCATGGCTGGCCACATAAGTGCCGTTTCTGTGCGGCATACTGTGGAAACTCGAGGCTGTTTTACTCGCAGCCATTTTGACTTCTTCCCTCTGAGGACTGTTCCTAAAGCGGTTACTATAGCTACCAGTGATAAATAGCGCTCTGTTGCCACTTCCAAATTTGGTAAACAGATCAGACGCCATATTGGATCGTCAAAAAACAACTTCTAATTTTGGACACAGAAAGAGCTTTTGGTAGAAACAAATATTGGTGTGTTGATGAGGAAGTAAACAGCATAATCTTTCCTCGCAATACTATGTTTAACGATGAAGCACAAGAAGCAGTAGAATTTAAGTCGTCGTGGAAAACCGAAAGGTGAGACAAAGTGATTTTAAGTTTTATCTGGCGGGAAATTTATACCAGGATTTTAAATACTATCAACCTGAAATTTAATTTATCAAGTTCTGAGTGTACTTTGATGTGTGTGTTTTTTTTTTTTTTTTTTTTTTTTTATTTACTAGAAAAAACACTTTATGGTAAATGTAAAATTGAAATCGAGCTGGCGTGAAAAATTAAGTGAAAAAAAAATTAGTACACTAACACTGTGTTGTCAAGATGTTGTGTATCGTCAAAGTGGACAAGTATTCATTGAAATAAAATCTACATCATTTCCAAAGGTCTAGCAAAAATGCAGGGGCTCAAACCAGTGAGATTATCACTTATGAGGCAGACGTACAGTCAATCCATCGGGTAGATGCAGAGGTACTTGAAGACACTTCCTATTTGAGTGTGTACATAATCACAGAGGAACTGAGCTAACTTTTAGGATCGCCACAATGCTAGGATCGCCAAAGTGAATTGAAACAGTGTTCAATTAAATACATCTAAGTGCCAGAGATTCCAACCTCTAGAAATATGAATCTAGTTGGGTTTGATATTATATCATGCCCTTCTGACCCTCCCCACCCCCTGGACCTTCCCAATGCCCACCCTCCCCCCCGTTCCTTTCTTTCTAGTCTTTTCTTCCACTTCATCCCAGTCTCCCTTCATGAACTTTACCCCTTAACTCCCAAGACAGAATTTCTCCTAATAATATCAAGCAAACAAGTGATGAGAATAAAGAAAAATATCAATGAGAGGATAACTAGTTGATCCATTACCAAATTCTCCAAATTAATGTCGTAATAATTGTATGGCAGACAGTAAGGGGGGTTATTAATCAGGTCTTTGGAGTAAAAAGGTTTAAGTCATCAGAGCAGGAGTGCATAACCAATCAGAAAAATATTACAATTAAATATTATGAGTGAACTTAACCAGTGACTGAATACTTAATATGCTTCATTATTTGTTTACTTTAGACTCAAACAGAAGAAGAGGATGAGAAAGGAAAACTTGTCTTTGTTGTTGAGGAAGAGAATCCAGTATGCAACATCATTTTTTGTTTTTTGGATTAATTATTGACTCATTGCAATCAAAATTTCTTTAAATTTTTGCTTTATGGTTTATACCCCATCCAGGCCATAAATGTGCATTGTTATACATGAACAGGTCTAGGAGTTCACTTTTCTAGTTTGAGGTCTGCTCCACACACTCCATTCACTCTGACCAATAGATCTAGCACTTAAAACATCAACTGTAGAAACTTCTTAAAGTGGCCAAGTTAGATTGAATTCATCAACTCAGTTGATGAAACCAAATCATCCACTGTAGCAGGATTGTGTATGCTAATCATTTACATTTTCTTGCATTTTGTTTTCCTTCTGTTTTTAAAGGGCCTTGTTAATTTTATACTAAGAGTCTATCCTGAGGTGAGCCGACAATTACAAGCCAACATTACAAGTCATGCTTTTGATGGTAAGTCGCAACCACTCTGTTAAATTTAATTTCCAATTATCTTTACTGTCTGCCACACAATTCTTATGATGTTAGTCTGAAGAATTTGGTATAAGGTTAGCTAATAATCCCACTATTAACATTAACATTACATGTTCAATTTTTAAGGGAAACTCAGAGAGAAAGGTGAAGTGGAAAATTTTTTTCTTCCAAGTTACAGGCTTAAATTATGGTAGTTCTGGGGTTTTGTGGTTTCTTGTAATTACTCCTGATGTGTAGCAGAATACTTGTCATCTTTATGGTTATGGTCTCAGTTTGGGAAACAGACTGTGTGAGGGGGTCACGGGTGTGGCTAGACAGGTGCTGGGGTGCTTACAACATTTCCTAATAGTGATATAATTGTGTTGTAAATCATCAACGTATAATTTGAGTGTTTTCAAAAATGTGCCAGTCATAGAATCATGTAGGCATAAACCTTTTTGAATGCTAGATACTTCACTTGCTAGTCCTTCTCGTTGCTTGGATACCAGCACACTATTACAGAAAGTAGAATTGCAACATAACTTACTTTAGATTGAGAGGTGCAGAAATTTGTCACTGTACTCTCCCCCCCCCCGCCCCCACATTTGAAAAATCCAAGCTATCTCCCAGTAGGTGTCTTGCAATGGACTAACTACCATCCAAGGGGGAGGAGATGTTGTTAGCCATTTGTTACAATAAAAAGAGGGATGAACTCCTCATGTTCCATTCCAACAAGTTTACGTGTTGATAGTTACATTGGACTGAATGCCTTGTAGGTTATGAAGAGAGCATAGATGAATCAACCAGCTCTGTATCATGTGCCCATACATTGATGAATGCAGCTTTAGTTGAAGATGAGGTAACCAATTTTCATCTAATGGAAAGAAACTCTCTTTGTTCTTAATTGCTAAAACATCTGTGAAAAATTCTGGAAAATTTAACCAGCTAAGTATCTCATGAGTAGTTACAATAGGCTTTAGGTTCTAAGTCAATGGAGATGGACAGAATAACAGGACAACCACAAGCAGTGAGGGCAGTTGTCTGCAAAATTGCTACATTATCCTTGGCTTTATCCATCATTTTTCATGACCTCTCATCATTGATCTCCTATAAGCAAGAGCCTGATCAAGATGGGCTCGTGCTGCAACAAATTTCAAGTCTTATTACAATTATTTGCTAATCTTTATGAGTATTGTCAAATTATTTATCGGATGTAAATTACCAAAGCTTGACAAAATTGTATAATTTTTCATTTTGCTCCACTTTTTAGCTACAGGTTACTGGCTTGTCATGGAATTCCACTGGTTCAGTAATCGCTGTCTCGTATCCTTAACATTAAGTTTAATTCTCACACCCGAGAGAAATATTTAGTCATTCTTAAAACTGACAAACAGCTTGGACAGGTTGAAAACTGTATGAAATTTATTGTGGAGGAATATGATTAAAATTTGAAAACTTGGTTAGCTTCCACCATTCACCTCATGCAAACTAATTTTGTTATGTTAGTGTTAACTTGTTTAGCCATTACATTTTATCATTCATTGTGAAGGCTTTCTACATGTCAGCATTTTTGCATCAAGTGTTTAAAACCAAGATTAAGATAAAAGTTCAACTTAACTACACAATGTTAGCTATGGAAGGTTTGATCATGAACACTGGTGCTCTCATAAGGTGTGTAAATCTTGATTACAAAATGTGTTTTACTTCATGTATGTCACATATGAACATACCTACTAAATTGTAGAAAAATAGCTCTAAACAACTTAAGATTGAATACAAGAGTGATCTTCACAGATTCCTGTTGTTCTTTGTCATACAATGCAACCATTTCTCGAGGCCGGGGTCATTGAATCATTGGGGCAGGAGCAATTCTTAGTTCCAGGCCTTAGTTAATCATAAATGATTTCATTCTATTTTTGTCAACTGATGTGGTCGTTCCTTTGACAGTCTGCCCTGTGTACTTGGAACATTGACAGGAGAGCAATTGATCCAAACAAGCCTGATATCACCATTGATCTATCTGTAAGTACTGCAGCTTATATGAGTAATTCCTCTGCTAACAATAACTCAGAAAGGTGCTAGAACCTGCTGGTGTTTGAGGTAATCCTTAACTCCCATGAGTGACTAAGACAGATTTTCTCCTTACAGTACCAATATAATATCGATCAGACAAGTAATGCGAATAAATAGAGATATCAGCAAGGGAATTATTAGTTGATTCAATGCCAAATTCTTATAACTAACATCATAAGAATTGTATGGAAGACAGTAAGGAGAATTACTAATGAGATCTTGGGAATGAAAGGTTGAATCACATCAGGGTTCTCTAGAGATTCTGATCGCTTTCTGAAAAAGTTAGCAGTTTTACATAGTCATGTGCATATACCATAAAAGAACACTACAATACTGAAGTTCTTTTTTTTTTGTCTATTGGTCAAGGATAGATCTAACCCCTTATGAGGGAGCAGCAATGATAAAAAGAACTATGGTAAAGCTATCTTTTGTTGTTGTTTAATCTCAACAGAGTTGCTTGATGTGTATTGCTTTTCATCCAAATCTGCCATCGGTTGTCGCTGGAGGATCATTTAATGGTACATTTGGGATGTAGTTTGCTAGGTTTTCCTGGTTAAAAAGTGAAATATTAACTCCTTTATTGTCTCTGCGATTCTTTGCTCCCCGAGAGGCTTTGGAGAATCCCTTTTCCTTTAAAGGTAGTTAATATCTCCGAGATCGATCCACGACTTATTTGTGCTACAATCCTCAACAAAACTCTTGAGACAATTTCAAAGAAACGGTTGAAAATGAACGTTTTAAAGCCTTTTAGTCAACAAGAACCCCCCCCCCCTTACGCAAATCTTACAGGAAGTAATCGATAAGGGTGCTTCTCTTAAAGCGTTTAGCGATAAGTATGCGAAAACGATTCGCCGCGAGAGGAATGGAACTGAAAATTGAAAAAACCGCTTGCACGAATTGGCTGGCTTTGAGTTTTATCTCCATGTTAGCGGATGTCAAAATTCCCATCAGCTGACAACGCTTTTCAGTCGATCAAATGTTGGTTATCTACCAAGAGAAACACAAATGCTAGCTTTAAAATGGAACTGAATTGCAACATGGAAGATAATTGAGAGTGTTGACGAAAGGCGCAGAGATGTCAATTCCTCTGAATGATATTGATCAAGACGGTCGAAAGATTTTTTAATTTGTAGCCATTCGCAACTGCGAGCGTTTAATCGATTAGTTTCTTTATTTGT